AGCACCGGGCCGCGGGGACACTAAAGCCCCGAAATCATCTCAAGATAACCTCAAGATAACCTCCCCATCACCCATACATGGTAATATAGCGAAAACACTCTAAAACTCTATGGACTCTACCCAGAACATTTAATCTGACGATTTCATGGTTAGCTTAAGATCTTAATTTAATTAAGGTTATCTTGAGATGATTTCGGGGCTTAGCGTCCTCGCGGCCCGGTCCTCATACTTGTTATACATCCCCAGGAAGCAGCCCGTAGCAGCTGTCTAACTCCCTGGTACCTAGTTACTGCTAGATGAACAAGGTGGATTGATCTTGAGTGCCTTAGTGTCTCATTACCATGTGCATAGCTATATATAGCTATACAACCATGACGCTAAATACTGTAATGTTTAATGTCCCTGTATCCGGGTACTTGCCAAGATGCGCGTGCTGGGTCGAGCCTCAGCTCCCAAGGCCCGCCATCCAAACATTTAGCATTTTAATGCAGACGATTCTTCTGTTGTTTTTCATATATATATATCCATATAAAACTGCATACGTTTCTAATTGTCGTTTTTTTCTGAAAGTATTAAACTTATGAAACAGAATAAATATAATTTTGTATTATACAAGTATTAGCAATTTGGGTTATAAGCAAATTAGGCTATTTAAGGAGGTTTATTTTGGGATTGTTGCTAGTAAGTGGAGGTGATGTTCGTCACTTAGCGTCAAGGAGCAGCTTCAAGTCAGAGTTGGTGCTCGTGTCATTGAGTGATAAGTGGTCGTGGAGTTTATCCACTTGGGTTGGTCGGTAGAGCGACGCTTTCTGTTACTGCAGGGGACAGCGTTCGATCCCCGATGGTCCAAGGGTTTGAGTACCGTTCCTTCACTCCGTCCTCATGTCCCAGTTCCTTGTCCTCGTATGTCCCAGTTCCTTGTCCTCGTATGTCCCAGTTCCTTGTCCTCGTATGTCCCAGTTCCTTGTCCTCGTATGTCCCAGTTCCTTGTCCTCGTATGTCCCAGTTCCTTGTCCTCGTATGTCCCAGTTCCTTGTCCTTGTATGTCCCAGTTCCTTGTCCTTGTATGTCCCAGTTCCTTGTCCTCGTATGTCCCAGTTCCTTGTCCTCGTATGTCCCAGTTCCTTGTCCTCGTATGTCCCAGTTCCTTGTCCTCGTATGTCCCAGTTCCTTGTCCTCGTATGTCCCAGTTCCTTGTCCTCGTATGTCCCAGTTCCTTGTCCTCGTATGTCCCAGTTCCTTGTCCTCGTATGTCCCAGTTCCTTGTCCTCGTATGTCCCAGTTCCTTGTCCTCGTATGTCCCAGTTCCTTGTCCTCGTATGTCCCAGTTCCTTGTCCTCGTATGTCCCAGTTCCTTGTCCTCGTATGTCCCAGTTCCTTGTCCTCGTATGTCCCAGTTCCTTGTCCTCGTATGTCCCAGTTCCTTGTCCTCGTATGTCCCAGTTCCTTGTCTTCGTATGTCCCAGTTCCTTGTCCTCGTATGTCCCAGTTCCTTGTCCTCATATCCCAGTTCCTTGTCCTCATATCCCAGTTCCTTGTCCTCATATCCCAGGTCCTTGTCCTCACACAGTCAAACTGACTTAGCGCTTTCTCCAGATAACTAATACATTACAACTGACCGTGTTGGTAGGCTCACATGGCCCTGTAGTCATGTTTCAGTATCGTCACCCAGATGTCTGCTAGATGAACTAGAACTACCTACTCAAGGTAGGGTAAGGTGACGAGCTGTATCACCTTACACTGTTGGGTCGAAATCTTCACAGGTGTCTGGGCCCCCTCCTTGAAGAGGTTGGTGGTGGTCACCCTACCTGGGTGATCAGGCGGCGACCTTGCCATAGGTTACGCCTGGGAGGTTGGTGGGGGGCTTGGCCCACTCTTGTGTGTGTTAAGGTGTAGGTGTTCGTCAGGACGTGTTTGATAGTAGGTCATATTGGAACACCTTCTCACGTAGGCAGGCGCGCTCACACACTCACTCACACACACACCCAGGAAGCAGCCCGTAGCAGCTGTCTAACTCCCAGGTACCTATTTACTGCTAGGTAACAGGCGCACCAGGGTGAAGGAAACTGCCCATTTGCTTTTCCGGCGGTGCCGGGGGATCGAACCCCGGTCCCTAGGTCCACGAGTCTAGAGCGCTGTCCACTCAGCCACCACCCAGTGTGTGTGTGTGTGTGTGTGTGTGTGTGTGTGTGTGTGTGTGTGTGTGTGTGTGTGTGTGTGTGTGTGTGTGTGTGTGTGTGTGTGTGGAAAAAAATTAGCTAGTAATTAGTAACAGTTGATTGATTGACAATTGAGAGGCGGACCGAAAGAGCAAGAGCTCAACCCCCGCAAGCCCAACTAGCTTAATACAACTAGGTGAATACAGTTTCCCACAAGCTTGCCTATACCCCATCACCCCAACAAAGGTCCTATGGGTTCACAGTGTGTACACATAGACCATCCCAACAGATAACAGAAACCATTTCGTACATTTCTCACTAATTTGAGAACTATGTCGCATAACGCACTCTATTAACACAAAACAAAAAACCTAAATCAAAATAAAAAACCTTCCCTAGGCTTCCCAGTATATAAACCCACAAATATATTTTAAAATAAATGTATATGAGAATAAAAACCCCCCTTGTTATTATACGGCATAAAATATTGCCGCTGCTCAGTTGTTTATCGGAGGCCCAAGGCAAATATTGACATTAAAGTCAGCCATTGTTGTTATAAATAGTGTTGTCGCGTGGTGATGGAGGTTCCGTAGCCTCTTGTGTAGTTTAGAATTAAACTTTATGTAGCGGTCACAGCTTGTAGCGGTTACGGCTAGTCGTAGCGGTCACAGCTTGTAGCGTTTACGGCTAGTCGTAGCGGTCACAGCTTGTAGCGTTTACGGCTAGTCGTAGCGGTCACAGCTTGTAGCGTTTACGGCTAGTCGTAGCGGTCACAGCTTGTAGCGTTTACGGCTGGTCGTAGCGGTCACTGCTTGTAGCGTTTACGGCTAGTCGTAGCGGTCACAGCTTGTAGCGTTTACGGCTAGTCGTAGCGGTCACAGCTTGTAGCGGTTACGGCTAGTCGTAGCGGTCACAGCTTGTAGCGTTTATGGCTAGTCGTAGCGGTTACTGCTAGTCGTAGCGGTCACAGCTTGTAGCGTTTACGGCTAGTCGTAGCGGTCACAGCTTGTAGCGGTTACTGCTAGTCGTAGCGGTCACAGCTTGTAGCGGTTACGGCTAGTCGTAGCGGTCACAGCTTGTAGCGGTTACGGCTAGTCGTAGCGGTCACTGCTTGTAGCGGTTATGGCTAGTCGTAGCGGTCACAGCTTGTAGCGGTTACGGCTAGTCGTGGCGGTCACAGCTTGTAGCGGTCACGGCTAGTCGTGGCGGTCACAGCTTGTAGCGGTTACTGCTAGTCGTAGCGGTCACTGCTTGTAGCGGTTCCGGCTAGTCGTAGCGGTCACAGCTTGTAGCGGTTACTGCTAGTCGTAGCGGTATGTTTCCACCCCATACTCTTGAATGTCTTGGGGCTAGAGGATAACATTGCTGGTGGATCTCCGTTTTATAATATCCTTTTGTCATCGCTAAGATAGCAGGTGGTGGTGGTAGGGGTAACAGAGCTAGAAGGGACGAGGGAGAGGACTGTAGAGCGGATGGGGGGGACTATAGAGCAGTAGGGTCTTCAACAACTGTGTCCATGGTAGGGGGGTGTGCCCAGCCCTGCTCAACCTGTTCTACAGTCTACCAACGCTGGTATTGTTGACACTGGCACCAATCCTCTCATTGGGCATGATGGGGACACCTGTCCTTACGAGTAATACATCGCATTTTGACGTCAAAATATGATGTATCATTAATCATAGCGGCTCGTTAAAATGACGGGCTGTTACGTTTTCTGTTCGCGGGCCGATCAGTTAGGTTGATTGGGGCAATTTAATATATTATTTTTCTGACGTAGCAACTCAAGAGGACGGCTTGCATAAACACCCATCAACACAGTTGCCAAAGTTTGATTTTAGTCTCTAATTGCAAATTGTACGGAAAATGCAATTAAACCATATGTTTGTTTTTAATTTTTGTATAAAAATGACATCTTGGAACTCCCTGTAGCCTGGGCTTTAGGGTGTATAAACATACGGGACCTGTAGTATGTTTAGCAGAGATGGGCGCGTGCCGCTGGCTTGGCCTTGCTGTTGGATATCTAAATGAATATCAGGTTAGAGCGAGTTGGTCTTGGGGTGAAAAAGAGCCGAAGGCAGATAAATGGGAGTTGATTTTGGGTCATGGACAGTGGCTATAGGGGTCAGAGTTTTAGTGAATCTCAGCCCAAAGTTTATATGTACCCTATGCAGGCGATGAGTCACAATAACGTGGCTGAAGTATGTTGACCAGACCACACACTAGAACACCTATTCCTATCCATAGGGTTAGGTTAGGCTAGGTTAGGGTTAGGTTGAGTTAGGTTAGTTTAGGGTTATGGCAAGGTAAGGTTACGTTACGTTTTGTTTGGTTACGTTAATGTTCTGTATCATTGTCAAACATGTTAAATATGAAATTCAAAAACTATTTGAGTATCCCCTAGAATCTCATTTACAGAAAATCAAACTCTTCAGATCGTTTCAAAGGAAATGAGTTAAGCATAGACTTTATATATTTTAAACTAACGATTTTTAACAATGTAAAGTTATAACTTGAGAATATTCTCTGTTTAGGACAAAGGTTTACGTTTCAGTTTACAAGTAAACTATTATTGGAACCGTAATATGCTTTCAGACCATCACAAATATCTAGATAAATATCCAAGTGTTTAACCAGGACGGCTGGCTGGTCGTTAAAACCACTTTCTTTACCCTGAGAACAGCCTTAAATAAGGCGTTTAGATTGCTGAAAAGCCTGGGTAAATACTGGTTTGTAAATGGTTGTCAATTTGAAGAACATATTACCGGGTAACATAATTGAAATGGGAAATTGAAATTAAAATAATTTTATTGAGGTAAAATACACACAAAGGGATGAGGTAGGTCCAGCTATTCTCACCCCGTTCAGTACATCGTGTTAATACATACATAGATACACATCACAAACAATAAACATATTACCAAACATTCTGAGAGATAAACATATACATTTCCTCCTTTACACAAGTAGAATGGTAATTGAAATGGAGGCACTGAATTGTTTGAGACATTAGTAATTGCCTCGTGTGGGCGAATAAGCCTTTTGTAGATTCATTTATTCCTAGTTTTTTTTTAATTAATATTGGTTGAAGTCAAGTGGATATCATTAATATTGGTTGAAGTCAAGTGGATATCATTAATATTGGTTGAAGTCAAGTGGATATCATACCAGCTCACATAGATATCGGGTGAGAACTAGTGAACATAAGGTGAAGACACATGGTTATCGGGCAAGAGATTTTTTCTCTTGCTGAGACAAAATAATGTGTATCATGCTGAGTGCAGAGAGAAATACAGTTGTTGTTGATCCTTGTGGAGCGTTGCGAGGCGTGACGAGGCTTGGCTTACGTGAGGCTATGCACCAAGTGTTCTACCTCTCTCACCCACCTATTTCCACCGCCTCACTGCTCTGAAAAACAAATTAAAAATACAAAAACAAAGCTGCAGCAGCAAGAATGCTGATTACTGTCTCAATTCTACTACCATATTCAGCTCCCGACTCAACGTTTCCTCAATCCTCATATCCCACCCAATTATTCAATTTCTTTCTAAGAAATTCTTTCTTTAATGTTTGTTAAAACTTCCGTCGGAATTTCGAGGTTATTCTGGTGTAGAATGTTGCAAATTGTCGTCGTAAACCAACAAAAAATTGACTAGCTTACCCACCTGGGGAAAAAAATGCCTGGTGTAGTGGCGCGCTGCCCGCTGATTGGCTGGTTGGTTCTGGCACACGACTCTCATTGGATAATTTGGCGGGTGTGGCGGCCGTGGTGCGTCTCAGAAGTCACCATGTAAATAAACAAACTAGAAGGAATTTAACAAGGACGGTAAGTTCGTGTGGACTGGTCTGAGACGTGAAAGACTTGGTGTATACTGGACAATAACATATATATATATATTGTTTTTGTTGCTGCCATCACTGATAAGTTTATTGTAGTAGGTTATTGTGCACCCCATACTCATCCTGTGAGTGGGAGTTATTGGTCACCCCATACTCATCCTGTGAGTGGGAGTTATTGTGCACCCCATACTCATCCTGTGAGTGGGAGTTATTGTACACCCCATACTCATCCTGTGAGTGGTAGTTATTGTGCACCCCATACTCATCCTGTGAGTGGGAGTTATTGTGCACCCCATACTCATCCTGTGAGAGGTAGTTATTGTGCACCCCATACTCATCCTGTGAGTGGTAGTTATTGTGCACCCCATACTCATCCTGTGAGTGGGAGTTATTGTGCACCCCATACTCATCCTGTGAGTGGGAGTTATTGTACACCCCATACTCATCCTGTGAGTGGTAGTTATTGTACACCCCATACTCATCCTGTGAGTGGGAGTTATTGTACACCCCATACTCATCCTGTGAGTGGGAGTTATTGTGCACCCCATACTTATCCTGTGAGTGCACAGGATACACCCCATACTCATACTTGTACACCCCATACTCATCCTGTGAGAGGTAGTTATTGTACATACAAAACTAGACTCCAGAAAGAGCAAAAGTTTGCAACAAGATTTGTGCCTTAATTAAGATAAGAAAAGCACGAGGACAAATCAAGGGAATTTCATCTCCAAACATTACAGAACAGAAGAAATGGATTGGATATGACCACGACATACAAGATATTGAGAGGAATAGACAAGACGGGTAACGACGTCTTTAAATTGAGAGAAAAAAAGGTCTAGATAATATATATAGTGGGAAGTTATAAACATAAATGTCTCGTTGAAATGTTAGAAACTATTGACACCTGTAAAGGTAGTCGACAAGTCGAGGAAATTAAGTCGTGGAATCCACCTCCATCCACAATTTTTAAGAGCTGATTCGCCAAGAATTCGAACACTTGGATATTTAATTTGTAACGCAAAATGCCCCTGTTACCTAGCAGTAAATAGGTACCTGGGAGTTAGACAGCTGTTATGGGCTGCTTCCTGTGTGTACTCATCTAGTTGTGCTTGCTGGGGTTGAGCTTTGGCTCTTTGGTCCCGCCTCTCAACTGTCAATCAACTGGTGTACAGATTCCTGAGCCTATTGGGCTCTATCATATCTACATTTGAAACTGTGTATGGAGTCAGCCTCCACCACATCACTGCCTAATGCATTCCATCCGTTAACTACTCTGACACTGAAAAAGCCCCTTCTAACGTCCCTGTGGCTCATGTGAGTACTCAGTTTCCACCTGTGTCCCCTTATTCGCGTCCCGCCAGTGTTGAATAGTTTATCCTTGTTTACCCGGTCGATTCCCCTGAGGATTTTGTAGGCTGTGATCATGTCTCGCCTTACTCTTCTGTCTTCCGGTACTCGAAGTCTTCCCCATACTCGTGGTGTGTGTATCGTATCGAGCGTCTTATTATGCACCCCATACCCATCCCGTGGGCGGTGGTGTAAAGGGTGCACATAATGGGTTCAGGATCTGAACCCTCTAGTTCGTTTAGCTAAGTAAATAAAAATCTTTTGACGCTAGTTACACAATTATTAATGTTATACTTGTACACATACACATACAATCACCTACACAAATACACACATCAATAATATTTTCTATCACTAGTGATTCAACAAGAGGCTCACAACAGTCACTATACAAGGCACCCTACACAAATACACACATCAATAATATTTTCTATCACTAGTGATTCAACAAGAGGCTCACAACAGTCACTATACAAGGCACTTTTCATCTATGGTGTGTCACAGTTACTAGTCTTGCTCCACACCCACCCAACTGGGCGGCAGCTTTACAGTCATGTGCTCCACACCCACCCAACTGGGCGGCAGCTTTACAGTCATGTCCTCTACACCCACCCAACTGGGCGGCAGCTTTACAGTCATGTGCTCCACACCCACCCAACTGGGCGGCAGCTTTACAGTCACGTGCTCCACACCCACCCAACTGGGCGACAGCTTTTAGGTGGTGAAGCAAAATGGTGTCAAATGGATTCGTCTTTCCTGTCTGATGTTGTCATTGTGCCACGCAAGTCGGGCAGGATTTCCTTTGCCTGAATTCGGCATAGTGCAGAGAGAGAGAGAGAGAGAGAGAGAGAGAGAGAGAGAGAGAGAGAGAGAGAGAGAGAGAGAGAGAGAGAGAGAGAGAGATTTACCTCAAGGTCCCCTGCCCTCACCCCTGTGGTGAGTGCGTGTGATCATGTAAATATTTGATCATGTGGGATCATTAGTAACTTTGTATAATATGAAAGTGAAGAGTTGTGGGGCCACATTCCAGCGGTGACCGTCCGTGGTCCTGGGCTAGGCTAGGCTAGGCTTCACTATCACTCACCATGAGGCTGCTGCCTTCGGGGCCTTACATCACTCTCCTACTCATCATCCATCCACCACCCAGCACAATTACTCATCTTCAGTGACTTAATTCTTCCAATGAGTGTAATACCAACAGTTACAATTACAGTACTCACATTTTAGGAACACTGTCCGCCATTTCTCAGGGTCTCGATTTATTCATGTTTAATTTCAAATTCAAAAGTTTTATTAATAAATGTGTGTACATTTATAGTTGCCTTAGTTTACACAGATTTACAGTAAGTTATTTACATATGATAAAGTTTTAACAATAACATGTCTATAATTATATACTGATACTCTAGAATTAGATTTCGAAGCTACATTGATCAGTGATTTAAAAATCATCACTACCTTTTGTACGGTCACTGATGGTCGAGTGGTTTAAGGCACCGTGTACACCAGTTGCAATGTGCTCCTGGCGGTTTGGGTTCGAGTCACTTTTGGGGTGTGGAGTTTTCAGTTGCATATATGTTTGGGGACCATTCAAGCTTGTTCACATGCATATATATATAATCAGAAAACTCTTCCCTGGGAAGGGATCGAACCCGGACAGCCAGGCTTTCCATACACCATAGCGTGTCCAGTACTATACCTGCTACACCACAACTGACTGTTAAAAGAATAGAAGATGCCAACCTAGGGCCAGATTTACGAAGCAGTTACGCAAGCACTTACAAACCTGTCGACGCACTCTTCGAATTGACAGTACGGTTTAATATCAAGTGTAATAAGTACAATTCGTGACTGCCTGGAATAGTACATAATTACACTTATTTGTGCCGTTAGATTTACCTCCCCATATATTCTCATTTTCTGTTAAAACACTCAGAATTTTAGGATGAATTTTTCAGTTAATGTTTACATACACAAGTTTTATATATAAAGAATTTCTTTTTCAGTTTTATTTAACAAGAGAGATTTTATACAAAATTTGAAAAAGTCCTGACTTACTTTATAATTTATTGAAAGATTTTAGTTTAGTTTTATTAGTTTTATAAAACTGTAATATCAATATAGCTATAGATTAAGTACTAATTGTAATTAAGAAGCAATAAAATGCTTGTCCTCATACACTAAGAAAGTTAGGTTAGGTCGTGGTTTTCTATTCAGTTTTTCAGGTAAACTCAAATATTCACAATATTTTGGTGCGATGTCTGGCGATTATTTGACAGTACGGTTTAATACTAAGTGTAATAAAATTCCTGACTACTAGGAATAGTACATAATTACACTTACTTGAGCCGTTACATTTATCTCCCCTTATACGGAGGATGGGCTGGAACCTGTACATCTTTTCTCAAATCTTTGGCGGCTTTGTTTACAATTATTAAACAGTTAATGAGCTCCGAAGCACCAGGAGGCTGTTTATAACAATAACAACAGTTGATTGGGAAGTTTTAATGCTTCTAAACTGTTTAATAAATGTAACCAAAGCCGTCAAAGTTTGAGGAAAGATGTTCAGGTTCGTAAGTACTTTCGTAAGTGCTTCGTGAATCTGGCGAGGAGTTTCCCAGCTAAGGAAGAATGACCAGAGGAACAACGGTTGACTGGGGAAATGACGTCTGTGACCCATCCCTATATACATTAAAGAATCTCGGATAACGTGACTGCATAGCTCTTAATTAAGATTAGCGTAGCAGCTAAATTAAGGATTTCCACTTTAAGCACCGGGTACCTCTCTTGAGTTGTCCTGCTACATGTAATTACCTAAGTGTAGTTACAGGATGAGAGCTATGCTCGTGGTGTCCCGTCTTCCCAGCACTCTTTGTCATATAACGCTTTGAAACTACTGACGGTCTTGGCCTCCACCACCTTCTCACTTAACTTGTTCCAACCGTCTACCACTCTATTTGCGAAGGTGAATTTTCTTATATTTCTTCGGCATCTGTGTTTGTAGTGGTTCACGAGTTGTCAAGTCGTGACTCGTGTGTTGAGTGGCGAGGCTGCTGCCACACCCACCGCCTTGTTTACACGTAGGTTATTGTGTTGTGTTGGCAGCCTCATTAGTGTGTGCTCGAGTCACAGCCTCATGCTCCCTGTTGCCACCTCAACAACCCAGCCTCCTGAAATGATAGTTTTTATTATTATTATTTTCTGCCACAGACGTGGCCAAACATTTACAGGGCTAATCAGTATATATATACATTTTCTTTTGTCCTCCATGGACAGGGTGTGAGAGGTTTGTCAAATATACAGTTCAGGGATTTATTGAACAATCAACCAGGTGATTGTAGTGCTTTTAAAATGCTAGGCTAAGCTACATACGTAAATACATAGATACACAGATTTATGTATGCTACATAAAGTGTTCGATGTGTCTTTTACATAGTGTCATTAATGTGCATTTACAAAGGCAAAACGTAACTCTGATCAGCTTCCACATATACTTTATACACATACATACACACACATATACATACACACACATTGTCTAAGTATTGTCTAAGACCAAAGAGCCAAAGCTCAACCCCCGCAAGCACAATTAGGTGAGTACACATATACATACATACATATATACACACACATACATTTGTCTCTTTTACTCTGGCAGGGTGAGATAGATGATAGTACTTATAGTAACCATTTGGTCCAAAATACCAATATGTAGTGTTGGAACAATAATAATACAATTTTTGTACTTTTAATTTCATAGTCCGGAAAAAAATTGTTAAATAAACAAATATACCCTGGCCTAGTATACCACATTAGGTATAAAGGAGGGTAGAAATAGCCTAAGCTACTCTATCCCTTTGAGATGTATTTCTTTCTTGTCTCAATAAACATACTTGAACTTGATTAGGTATAAACTAGCGTGTACTAGAGATAGGATTGCTAGGAGAGGTTATAATACGTATTATATTTGTTGCCGTTAACAAAAGTTTCCCCATTTGTCTAAATTTAATAATACCAAAGTCACCTTTTTTTGCTAGCCCATCACTACACATTAATACTTTCGACTAAATAGTTATTATAAGTACTCTCATTTTAGGAGGCTGGGTTGCTTCTTGAGTCTTAACCTGTTGCTTGCGCACTCGCCAGAGGTTTCAATTTGTGTGTACAGTGGAGCGTGAACAATTGTGTGTAATGAGAGAGACACGAGTGCAGCTAGGTATTCTTGACGGTCCGAGGGTGACTGTGCTTCAAATTTGTATGAAAAATGTTAATTGAAAGTTTCCTCTCCTAACCTTTCCGAGTGGGCCGGACGACTCAAACAAAACGGGACAGTACGTCACTTTTGTAAGTCGATTTCATTTCAAATTACGCCCACTTTTGGCCATAGCCGCGCATACGAGCGAAAAGCCCCTTATTTTTAAGAGGACGGGTTGAACTGTGTCCGCGGCCCAGGCTCGTACTAGGCTTCAGCGATGATTGATAAACATTAAGCCACCCAAAAAGGGGCACGGGCATGAATAGCCCGTAAGGTGGATCATTACAGAGGTCTGAAATGGTCGTCACATTTAATCGACTGAGCTACGACAGGGAAAGGCAGCGTCTGGGATGCTCTCGGACGCAGGTTCGAATCCTCGTCACGGCCCTTGTGGATTTGTTCATTAGTCCTTCTAATCTTTTCCAGCATTTGCTACTCTGACAAATGTGAGTAAAGTCTTCAAGAACACAGAGAAGGTTACCTTATAAACGCTATTCATGTCATACGTGCGGCCTTTGTTGGAGTATACAGGACCAGCATGGAACCCCACATCTTAAAAAAGAAGAAATAGTCACAGGTTTCCTTCATCTCCTTTAGGGAGATGAACCTAATGTTATTTGAAGAAAAGAGATAGAGGAAAAATTATAGACTTGCATCATACTTAGTGATTTTAATTTTCTTAATTGCGACAGAGTTTAGATTGACTAGACACAGATTGAAAGGACATAGAACCAGGCAGATGAGCCAAAGGGATGTCTCGAAGATGAGCCACAGAGATGTCTCGAAGATGAGCCACAGAGATGTCTGGAAGATGAGCCACAGAGATGTCTGCGATGTCTTCACATTCTCTCGTTCTTCGAGTGAATGTGAAGTGAACTAGAGTAATATTAAGGGCTTCATCTAACCACAGTTTTAAAAGTTATAACATAAGAGGCAGGGGTCGGGAGTTATTGCATTTAATGACCGACACTTGGGAAGATAGAGCCCAGAAACTGAAGCTTTGTTACATAAATACTATTAGACAAGCATGCACGCGGGCACACAACTTTTGATGCCTATGCCGTTAACAACACTCCCATAGACCCAAGTGGTATATTCTGTAAGGTAAGTGATAGATGCGCGAGATTCTGAAGGGTTTGTGCACATTGTTGATGGGGGAGGAGTTTTAGCGGCCTTGCCAGCCAGTTAGATGACGGGCAAGCAAGAGGCCCGTCCCAGACGGGCAAGCAAGAGGCCGGTCCCAGACGGACAAGCAAGAGGCCGTCCCAGACGGGCAAGCAAGAGGCCGGTCCCAGACAGGCAAGAGCCCCGTCCCAGACCTGAACTGTGGTGGTGGCGGCGGTAGGCAGAGACATGTTGTCGCAGACCGGTTTTTGGACACCCGAGGGAACCCTTGTTGATCTGATGGCGATAACCAGGTCCTCGACGCTTAGCGGGATATGACTTTATTAAGATCATTCTCCCCCCCTGCTCTACACGGGTACTGTATCACCCTCTCACACTAACCTAAACGTAGACAACTGTTTTAATTGAAGAGCGCGCTTGAGTTTCATACACACACTGGAAACTGGAAAATATTGGAGGGGTGACAGGTAAGCTTCTATCATGGATGAAAAATTTTCTGACTGGTAAAAAAATGAGGGCTGTGATCAGAGGCAATGTATCGGAATGGAGAAATGTCACAAGTGGAGTACCACAGGGTTCAGTTCTTGCACCAGTGATGTTTATTGTGTACATAAATGATCTACCAGTTGGTATACAGAATTATATGAACATGTTTGCTGATGATGCTAAGATAATAGGAAGGATAAGAAATTTAGATGATTGTCATGCCCTTCAAGAAGACCTGGACAAAATAAGTATATGGAGCACCACCTGGCAAATGGAATTTAATGTTAATAAATGTCATGTAATGGAATGTGGAATAGGAGAACATAGACCCCACACAACCTATATATTATGTGAGAAATCTTTAAAGAATTCTGATAAAGAAAGAGATCTAGGGGTGGTTCTAGATAGAAATCTATCACCTGAGGACCACAAAGAATATTGTGCAAGGAGCCTATGCTATGCTTTCTAACTTCAGAATTGCATTTAAATACATGGATGGCGATATACTAAAGAAATTGTTCATGACTTTTGTTAGGCCAAAGCTAGAATATGCAGCTGTTGTGTGGTGCCCATATCTTAAGAAGCACATCAACAAACTGGAAAAGGTGCAAAGACATGTTACTAAGTGGCTCCCAGAACTGAAGGGTAAGAGCTACGAGGAGAGGTTAGAAACATTAAATATGCCAAAACTAGAAGACAGAAGAAAAAGAGGTGATATGATCACTACATACAAAATAGTAACAGGAATTGATAAAATCGACGGGGAAGATTTCCTGAGACCTGGCACTTTAAGAACAAGAGGTCATAGATTTAAACTAGCTAAACACAGATGCCGAAGAAATATAAGAAAATTCACCTTCGCAAATAGAGTGGTAGACGCTTGGAACAAGTTAAGTGAGAAGGTGGTGGAGGCCAAGACCGTCAGTAGTTTCAAAGCGTTATATGACAAAGAGTGCTGGGAAGACGGGACACCACGAGCGTAGCTCTCATCCTGTAACTACACTTAGGTAATTACACACACACGTACAAAACGCGGGGGAAACCACAATATGGAACGGAAAATCAAAACCAAAAAACGCAAGACCTGAGAGTTACGTCAGAAAACGCCAATTGCCGACCAGCATGTACTGCGGGTGTCCACCGCGGACAGTGTCGTACCGCACGTGTTTGACATACTGGCGTCCCGCTAGCTTAAATTCACGCGCGGTCACGTATCCTGCGGTGACCCCGTGAGGCTGGCGTTAGCCACTGCGTCACCTTACCTTGAGGTTACCTTGAGGTGCTTCCGGGGCTTAGCGTCCCCGCGGCCCGGTCGTCGACAAGGCCTCCTGGTTGCCGGACTGATCAACCAGGCTGCTGGACGCGGCTGCTCGCAGCCTGACGTACGAGTCACAGCCTCGCCATACGTACTGACGTAGTCTTGCGCGCGCACCAGTTCCTTGACGGGGGAAGAGTTTAGTCAGCACAATTGGGGGTAGACTGTGGACTTTCTCCTACGATTGATTGATTGATGAAGATTAAGCCACCCAAGAGGTGGCACGGGCATGAATAGCCCGTAAGTGGTGGCCCCTTTTGAGCCATTACCAGTATCAATAGATGATACTGGAGATCTGTGGAGGTGCGACTGTACCCTGCGTGACGGGAGATGTCTCTCGTGTTTCTCCTATAACACTACCCCCTAGAACAACTATCTTGGGATTAAGGAGAGAGAAAGGAAAGGGTGAGAAACAGGTTATCTTGAGATGATTTCGGGGCTTTAGTGTCCCCGCGGCCCAGTCCTCGACCACACCTCCACCCCCAGGAAGCAGCCCGTGACGGCTGATTAACACCCAGGTACCTATTTTACTGCTAGGTAACAGGGGCATAGGGTGAAAGAAACTCTGCCCATTGTTTGTCGCCGGCGCCTGGGATCGAACCCAGGACCACAGGTAGACACGGATAGATAATAAAATAAGCGAGACATATAATGGCGATAATGGGCACGTTTCCTTTCATGCAATGCTCCTGTTCACCTAGCAGTAAATAGGTACCTGGGGAGTTAGGCAACTGTTGTGGGGGTTGCATCCTTGGGGAGGGTCAGTAGTTCCACCTTCTGTGGTGACCTTGACATCAGTTCATATACACAGGCTTCCTGTGCCTGACAAAATCCATTATGTGAAGTGACGACAATTACCAGACTGACGACACGTGTGGGAGGTTTGGTAAGGCTTGGTGTTCTTACTGCTCACCACCACACACACACCACCGCTCCTGTGCCAGGTAAGTCCACCACGGGCTCACCATAGCCCGTGCTACTTGCCCCGCTCCTGTGCCAGGAAAGTCCACCACGGGCTCACCATAGTCCGCGCTACTTGCCCCGCTCCTGTGCCAGGTAAGTCCACTACGGGATCACCATAGCCCGTGCTACTTGCCCCGCTCCTGTGCCAGGTAAGTCCACTACGGGCTCACCATAGCCCGTGCTACTTGCCCCGCTCCTGTGTCAGGTAAGTCCACCACGGGCTCACCATACCCCGCGCTACTTGCCCCGCTCCTGTGCCAGGAAAGTCCACCACGGGCTCACCATACCCCGCGCTACTTGCCCCGCTCCTGTGCCAGGAAAGTCCACCACGGGCTCACCATACCCCGCGCTACTTGCCCCGCTCCTGTGCCAGGAAAGTCCACCACGGGCTCACCATAGCCCGTGCTACTTGGAACTTGTTCCGAGTAGCTGAATCTATAACAACAAGAACAACAACTTACTGCTCACGTGGACCTGTGTCAGGTCCACCTCCGGCGCCACACTGCCTTACATAAAAGGCTAAAGTCACCATTGTGGAATGACAACTTTCCAACTTTACCCCCCATGTCTCGCCTTCCACCGTGGCCCCAAACTCTGGGCATGGTGGGTGTAGGTGGGGTTGGAGTGGCGGGTGTAGGTGGTGGCGGGTGTAGGTGGCGGGTGAAGGTTAAACGTTTAATATAGTTGTGCGTCATACGTTTGATTTAGAATCTTTTCTGAGCTAACTTGGCTGTCAGAAGAGCCTACTTGGTCACCCGCAAATAAAGCATTTGCGTACCGCAGTGTTCGTTAGAAACATTTCTGGTCGAAGCTGACGAACTCTTCACTGTATCGAATTATGCACAAAAATAATGCTGATTGGTCCATTGTCAGTGACCATGAAGCTATGTTCGGACATTTTGTTCACATTAAGTCAAATCTTCTATCCTTGTGTATTTTTTTTGGTAAAGATTGTCTTTAATTTAAATAGTTGTATAAAACGTGTTATGTACTGAAGACATGAAGTAAGATGATGTGTTTGGTTACAGTGGTGGACTGTCCAACCTGCTCTACTACTGCGCCCTCCCTGTCTCCAACCCCGCCAAGGCCACAGAGCCCTCAGAGGTCCTCCTCAGGATATATGGACAGGTAAGACATCTTCAGTTTTCCTTGGCCCCTCAGACGTCCTCCTCTAGAGAGGGGGACCTAATACTGACATTCCATGAAGTATAGTTGGTGCCTAGCATCCTAGCTTCCCTGTTAGCCAGAGATTAGTGTAATCTAGTGTTACTATCCTCCCTTCCCTGTCTCTGATCAGAGTTTTGTGTCGACCCAGACGTTGCTAACTTTAGCAGGGGTGATGAGAAGTTGCTAACTTTAGCAGGATTGATGACATACAGTACTATGGCATGGACTGCCTAACATGAGGACCAAACCATATATCAGAAAATAGAGAAACGACAATGTTTCGGTTCATCCTGGACCATTATCAGGTCAGGTAATGGAGAGAGAGGAAGGGACAGACAAATAGGGAAGAGAGAATGGGGCTTTCTCTACCGGTGAAAGAAGTGAGAGAGAGAACGGAGCTGCTTCTACCGGTGACAGAAGAGAGTGAACGGGTCTTCCTTCCTCTACCGGTGAAGGAAGAGAGTGAACGGGTCTTCCTTCCTCTACCGGTGAAGGAAGAGAGCGGAACTTTCTCTACCGGTGTATGAAGCGTGAACGCTGTTAATTCCACCACTGAAGGAAGAGAACATTACATCTAACAAACATACAATGTACATCGTACATATAATGAATTACTATCGTGCCCTTGATTAAGAGAGAAACGGAACATTGATAACCAAGAACTCCGGGCAGTACTCAGAGTTGGTGTTCTGATAACCCACTCCAGACTCAAATGCCGCTACCTCCACCAGGCTTAAAATAAACATTGACATCACACATCTATTAAGATAGTAAAGAAGCTTACAGAGAACAGCTACAGTGTTTTGCACGCTCCAGGCACCACACAGCTCATTGTGTTAACAATGAACACAATAACATGGTCTCGGATGCCCGACATGTTATGCCGTCTCGTATAACATCTTTCCTTGACAGGACAAAAGCTATTTAACCAGTTTTGAACACTAATTGAGTTCAAATCCCTCGCATTGCTCCAACTGATTTTCTTCTTATTACTATTATAAATAACCTCGCTGTTCTTCAGGGGGCCCTTAAAATGTCCATTATATGTAAATTAAGCCTCAATGATTGAGGAAAGATAGCGACCCAGGGAACCCTTCTCCAAGAGGTCAGCCCAGATGACCTCTGGAAAAGGGGGGGTAGAAATAGCCTAAGCTACTCTATCCCTTTGAGATGAATTTCTTTCTTGTCTCAAACATACTTGAACCTCTGGATCGTCTTGCAAAGTTAATTAAAATATTCCTGGCAAGTCTTAGCCAGCTAGTTTCAAGTAGGTGATATTATTCACGATAATGTTGTCAAACATTGTAATGGAATTATACTCCCAGATTCTTAGGTATAAGCGTTGCAACCCGTTCTCGCAAATTTAATAAGTCAATATTGACTTATTAAATATGTGTATAGGTGACATACTTAACATAATAGATACCCTTAAAAAGATTCATAGAAAACACCGACCTTACCTAACCTACTTAGTATGTTAAGATACGCATCTTATTGCTTCGTAATTACAATTATTACCTAACCTATAATAGGTATAGGTTAAGTAATAATTGTAATTACGAAGCAATAAGATGCTTATCTTAATACTAACAAGGTTAGGTAAGGTCGGTGTTTTCTATGAATCTTTTTAAGGGTATCTATTATGTTTAGTATATCACCTATGCACGTAGTTAATAAGTCAATATTGACTTTACGAATTTGCGAGAACGGGTTGCAGTCTCAGGTACTGTACTCGTCCCAGTACAGTCCCCTAGGCTAGTGCACCAGCCTCGGGTACTGTACTCGTCCTAGTACAGTTCCCTAGGCTAGTGTACCAGTACAGTTCCCTAGGCTAGTGTATCAGCCTCATTACCGTCCCACCCCCAGGGACCGTAATTTGTCCAGATGCAACCCCCCTCCTGCAGGGTAGGATGTCTTAGAGTGTTAGCCTCGACACTCACCACTCCCTTTTCCCCTCTCCCCTGACAGGTGCATGGCGAGGACGCCCTGGAGAGCGTGCTGGCTGAGAGTGTGATCTTCGCCCTGCTGTCTGAACGGCGTCTTGGTCCCCGCCTCTATGGCGTCTTCCCTGGTGGCAGGCTGGAGCAGTTCATCCCCGTGAGTTCTCATTGTTTGTGTAATAATCATCATCATGTTAAGCCCAGCCATCTTTGAAGGTAGTGGATGGCAGACGGAGAAGTCAGCTTGCGCTGTCTGCTCTTCACACATTCCTTGTTCTCAGGCAACAATAACATTCCTCCACGCCTCCGATGTCTTCCTAAATTACGATTAATGTGTCTTCTTACACGTTTCCTGGAGATGTAAACTGTTTTGTCAAGAATGGTGGAGTACCATTCAATGGCGTGTGCCTTGCCTTAGGTTATTTTGCGTTGATTCCGGGAGTCAAGGTCTCCGCGGCCCGGTCTCTAACCAGGCTTTCTGGTTGATGGTCTGGTCAACCAGGCTGTTGGATGCAGCTGCTCGCAGTCTAACGTATGAATCACAGTCTGGTTGATCAGGTATCCTTTGGTATGGTGAGGTATGACAAATTTAAACAATTAGGCTAGATCGGGCAGGCGGCGAAACTGGGGCCAGATTCATGAAGCAGTTACGCAAGCACCTACAAACCTGTACATCTTTTCTCAATCTTTGGCGGCTTTGTTTCCAATTATTAAACAGTTAATGAGCTCCGAAGCACCAGGAGGCTGTTTATAACAATAACAACAGTTGATGGGCAAGCTTTTATGCTTGTAAACTGTTTAATAAACCTATCCTCATCGAGGCCACTAGAGTGTTAGTGGCCCTCAGGTAAATTCAGGTAAATTTATACTTTGTTAGTCTTCAAGGTAAGGTTGGCACACTGTCAACAGCTATAAAAGAAAGGTGAAAGTGGCACTAATGTTGACCTTGGATAATGTTTATCAGTGAGTGTGCAGAACACCCCAATAACACCAGATGTTTATTGCCGAGGGAGTCAAGCCTTTAGTTTATTGCTGTAGCGGGGTTTGTGAGTGCCAACACATGGGTGAGGTGGGGCGGGAGTGCCAACACCTGGGTGAGGTGGGGCGGGAGTGCCAACACCTGGGTGAGGTGGGGCACGAGTGCCAACACCTGGGTGAGGTGGGGTGGGAGTGCCAACACCTGGGTGAGGTGAGGTGGGAGTGCCAACACCTGGGTGAGGTGGGGCTGGAGTGCCAACACCTGGGTGAGGTGGGGCGGGAGTGCCAACACCTGGGTGAGGTGGGGCGGGAGTGCCAACACCTGGGTGAGGTGGGGCTGGAGTGCCAACACCTGGGTGAGGTGGGGCGGGAGTGCCAACACCTGGGTGAGGTGGGGTGGGAGTGCCAACACCTGGGTGAGGTGAGGTGGGAGTGCCAACACCTGGGTGAGGTGGGGCTGGAGTGCCAACACCTGGGTGAGGTGGGGCAGGAGTGCCAGCACCTGGGTGAGGTGGGGCTAGAGTGCCAACACCTGGGTGAGGTGGGGCAGGAGTGCCAGCACCTGGGTGAGGTGGGGCTGGTCAGGAACTAAATAACATGGACATATTACAGCATTTACTATCACCTCAGCAGTGACACTACATACCATGTAAACTGTATTTTACACAGACAACTGCACTCTCAGCCATTATAACATATACCTTGGCTATATATTACATCACATGCACATCCAGTAAAATGTTGCACATATGGATACTTGGAGAGCAACGCTTGACTGATTGTCATCATTGCAGGCTCGGTCACTCTTCACCAATGAACTGGCAGATCCGGATTTGTCGGCAATCATTGCTACCAAGATGGCCAACATCCACACCCTTAATGTGCCCATCAGCAAGGAACCCACTTGGATCTGGAACACTATGGACAAGTGAGTCTGTCCTTTTCAAATCTCTCTCTCTCTCTTTGCCTCTTCTCTCTCTCTCTTTGCCTCTTCTCTCTCTCTCTTTGCCTCCTCTCTCTCTCTTTGCCTCCTCTCTCTCTCTTTGCCTCTTCTCTCTCTCTCTTTGCCTCTTCTCCCTCTCTCTTTGCCTCTTCTCTCTCTCTCTTTGCCTCCTCTCTCTCTCTTTGCCTCTTCTCTCTCTCTCTTTGCCTCCTCTCTCTCTCTCTTTGCCTCTCTCTCTCTCTCTCTTTGCCTCCTCTCTCTCTCTTTGCCTCCTCTCTCTCTCTCTTTGCCTCCTCTCTCTCTCTCTCTTTGCCTCTCTCTCTCTCTCTTTGCCTCTCTCTCTCTCTCTTTGCCTCCTCTCTCTCTCTCTTTGCCTCCTGTCTCTCTCTCTTTGCCTCTCTCTCTCTCTCTCTTTGCCTCCTGTCTCTCTCTCTTTGCCTCTCTCTCTCTCTGCCTCTCTCTCTCTCTCTCTTTGCCTTTCTCTCTCTTTGCCTCTCTCTCTCTTTGTCTCTCTCTCTCTTTGCCTCTCTCTCTCTTTGCCTCTCTCTCTCTCTCTCTCTTTGCCTCTCTCTCTCTCTCTTTGTCTCTCTCTCTCTCTTTGCCTCTCTCTCTCTTTGCCTCTCTCTCTCTCTCTTTGCCTCTCTCTCTCTCTCTCTATGACTCTCTCTCTCTCTCTTTGCCTCTCTCTCTCTCTCTTTGCCTCTCTCTCTCTCTCTCTTTGCCTCTCTCTCTCTCTCTTTGCCTCTCTCTCTCTCTCTTTGCCTCTCTCTCTCTCTCTCTTTGCCTCTCTCTCTCTCTCTCTTTGCCTCTCTCTCTCTTTGCCTCTCTCTCTCTTTGCCTCTCTCTCTCTTTGTCTCTCTCTCTCTCTCTCTATGCCTCTCTCTCTCTCTCTCTCTCTCTCTCTCTCTCTCTCTCTCTCTCTTTGCCTCTCTCTCTCTCTCTCTCTCTCTCTCTCTCTCTCTCTCTTTGCCTCTCTCTCTCTCTCTCTCTCTCTCTCTCTCTTTGCCTCTCTCTCTCTCTCTCTCTCTTTGCCTCTCTCTCTCTCTCTCTCTCTCTCTCTCTCTCTCTCTCTCTCTCTCTCTCTCTCTCTCTCTCTCTCTCTCTCTCTCTCTCTCTCTCTCTCTCTCTCTCTTTCTCTCTCTCTTTGCCTCTCTCTCTCTCTCTCTCTCTCTCTCTCTCTCTCTCTCTCTCTCTCTCTCTCTCTCTCTCTCTCTCTCTCTTTGCCTCTCTCTCTCTCTCTCTTTGCCTCTCTCTCTCTCTCTTTGCCTCTCTCTCTCGCTCTCTCTCGCTTTCTCTCGCTCTTTCTTTCTTTTCCTCCCCTCCCTCCCTCCCTCCCTCCCTCCCCAACGCGAGTCTTGACATAACGTCTGTTTCTGTCTTTATCTATCATTTTCCGTCTGTTATATCTTCATGCTCTTTTGTGCATTTAGATGCATTTTACAAAATAATCTATGTATCTACTAGTCCATCCATTGGCCTAACTTGATAGCTAACAAGATGACCCCATGCAAGAATGACAAGACGAGGATTACAATGCCTGCACGAGCAACGCATTGGGCATTATCGGTTCAGCCTCCTTTCAACTAGAATGAAACCTTGTTTTCTCCGTGGATGGTGTTGGGACATAGCCACTGCTGACTGGAAAGACAATCTCTCACAAAGATCCTCTAAATTAAGCAGACATTACTCAGGATTTCAGAATACAGTCGTTTATACTATGAGAGTGACATATATTCTACTTTTGAAGTAAGAAGATTTAGAAATTGAGAGATTTCCAAATGCAGCGAAGCAGGAAGTTGCACCAGAATATTGGTTGGATTTCTGGGAAGACTAGCTGGGTAGAGGTCCAGAGACCCTCCAGTCAGTGTACTTGCATTGTGTCCATTTGTGAGGATGACCGTCAGTCAGTCAGTGTAACCTCGTGGTGACCGGGTGCCAGTCAGTGTACACTGATGATGTCCATTGTGAGGATACAGTCAGTGTACCCTCAAGGTGTCCATTGTTAGGATCCCAGTCAGTGTACCCTCATTGTGTCCATTGTGAGGATGCCAGTCAGTGTACCCTCATTGTGTCCATTGTGAGGATGCCAGTCAGTGTACCCTCATTGTGTCCATTGTGAGGATGCCAGTCAGTGTACCCTCATTGTATCCATTGTGAGGATGCCAGTCAGTGTACCCTCATTGTATCCATTGTGAGGATGCCAGTCAGTGTACCCTCATTGTGTCCATTGTGAGGATGCCAGTCAGTGTACCCTCATTGTGTCCATTGTGAGGATCCCGGTTAGTGTACCCTCATTGTATCCATTGTGAGGATCCCGGTCAGTGTACCCTCATTGTATCCATTGTGAGAATACAGTAAGTGTACCCTCATTGTGTCCATTGTGAGGATGCCAGTCAGTGTACCCTCATGTTATCCGTTGAAAGGATGCATCTACGTGTCGTCTGCATCTGCCTACGGATATGTTCCCTACTCTGTGACAGCTGAAGCTACTGCCCGAATATGGCAGTACTATTCTCCGTTTCTTTCTGCTTAACATTACCATTTCTGGGCTTCATGTCCTATATTGTATGTTACTAATGCAATGATATCAAACAAACTGCATACTGTTAAAAGGGTGTCAAGGTAACTCCTACAATAATATCTTGTCATTTACTTACAGATGGCTGAAATCCGGTCAGGAATATCTTTGCAAAAAACCCCAAATTGATGGAGTTGAAAAGAGTACAATTGAAAGGTTACAGAAGATTAATTACCATAATGAGATGGATTACTTGAAGCAAGTGGTGGCCAAGGTTCAGTCTCCAGTTGTGTTTGCTCATAATGACATGCAGGAGGGCAACATTCTCCTGAAAACAAACGCCAAGTCCCATGAAGATCGAATATGCCTCATTGATTTTGAGTATTGCTCGTATAACTACCGAGGGTTTGATCTTGCAAATCATTTCTGTGAATGGATGTATAATTACAAGGTTCCTACCTATCCATATTTTATTGTGGAAAGGGAGAACTTTCCCGAAAAAAATAAGCAGGTACTGCACATATAGTTTCACTGGGAATTAAGAGAACTAATAGGAATAAATAATGACATTAGAAATCACGTTGACATTGTGAGACTAGTAGGCTTTATATATTTGGAGGTGGGGAAAAGAAGAGATGAATTAAGATTTATGTATAATATTTTAGTGAAGTGTTTTAATGTTATGCTGTACAATATTTATGATTTGCAGTAATATAGACAAAATCAATTACCAAGAGCTCGTTAGAGTAAACTACTGCTGTGAATTACTTCAATAAGTGATAAGTAGTTATTCCATTATTTTGGTTTAATGCAGTCATGCTCAGTTTCACTTAATTTTGTATAATGGAGCAAGTTAGAGCTAGCAGCATCGTTTTGCCATCAGCTGTCAATCAATGTTTTGTTAAATGCATATATATTTTTAGCCCCCCGCCAACCACCTTTTTTAACAGTGCTATTAATGCAACCAATGATGATTTATTTGTTTATACTAAGATAAATAGTTGTGCTGTAAAACTTGAAAATTGTACAGTATATATTTTACTTTTTAATTGCTTCTGTAATAAAATTCTTGTTCGTGAAGCATGTGCTATTTTGAGCACAAGATCCTGCAGCATGTGCTATTTTGAGCACAAGATCCTGCAGCATGTGCTATTTTGAGCACAAGATCCTGCAGCATGTGCTATTTTGAGCACAAGATCCTGCAGCATGTGCTATTTTGAGCACAAGATTCTGAAGCAAACATGTCACAATAACTTGACTGCCAGGCGACAGGCAATGTCTTCCTGTATTCAACCAGGAGTTGACTATATATAGTATACTACATAAGTCGATGCTTACATACACAAGCTTTTTATTACAAAAGTCAAAATTTTGTTTTCTGTAACAGATTTTTTTTACACTGCTACTAAACGTATGATGGGCTTTTGAAGATACAGTGCTGTACTATATTTATTTGATGTGAGGTCTTAATAATGTGTATTTTGGGGGTATACAGTTTGGTCACGTAAAAATTACTATTGACGATGTCATCTCTTGCAGCTTCACTTCATCCGTACTTACCTAGCAGCTTGTGAAATGTTACGGAGAGGCAAGTGCTCACCTGTTGTCACCGGCAGTGCAGACGAACCTTTAACATTGTAAGTAATAGTAATGCTTATGGTACTCCAAGGATTGCTTCAGAATACTTATAATTCTCTTGTAACTGACACAAGCTACAGGCAGTGTAGGGTCCACTTATTGTGTAGCTACAGGCAGTGTAGGGTCTACTTATTGTGTAGCTACAGGCAGTGTAGGGTCCACTTATTGTGTAGCTACAGGCAGTGTAGGGGCTGTGTAGGGTAGGGTAGTGTAGGGTAGGGTAGTGTAGGTAGGTAGTGTAGGGGCTGTGTAGGGTAGGGTAGTGTAGTGTAGGGCAGTGTAGGGTAGACAGTGTAAGTGTAGGGTCTACTTATTGTGTAGCTACAGGCAGTGTAGGGTCCACTTATTGTGTAGCTACAGGCAGTCTTGGTTTCCAATTGTGAGTTGAGAATGAGCCCGACTGCATTATCAAGACCTTCGGTAGTAAAGTTACTTGGTAGAAATATATCGTGAACAATCTTACGAAGATCTCAAGTAATGTCTAACATGTGCTTATTTTGGTTATGTATTTCCCTTACACTTGTATGTATTCTTTTATATATGTAATTTTTCAGTAATGTACTTTCTATTGTCTTTCATTTTTCATAAGGTTGTACTGTAGCCTCGAGCTGAAAAGGGTTGATCCGAGATCTTGAGGTTGTTATTCTATCCTCTTAAGTGCTCAGTGTATTACCAAAATTTTAAATCAATCTCATTTTGCTACTCGCTTTCACTATTTGATCTCATTATCATACCTCTCATCATTTATTTAATTTCACCATATCTCTCATCTGTTTTGTCATTTTCCACTTGTATTTACATACAGTATTTCATTTTTATTTAGAAATGATTTTATATACAGGAGCAATGGCTTTGGGACCGGTACATATATTAACGGCATGAGGGCCTCGCAAGCAGTAGGCAGCTGTGTTGCACCTTCTCATCCAGTAGAAGACAAACTCCTACAAGAGGTACAAGTGTTTACGTTGGCTTCCCACCTGTTTTGGGCCTTGTGGTCTATTGTTCAAAGCCAAGTCTCCAGCATCCCCTTTGGCTATATGGTAAGTGTGCAGAGAACTGTTGCAATTAATTCATTGTGTCGGGGGAACAGGAAGCCAGAGTGTATTCGTACATGTTTGTCTTTTATCGGAACCCCTTTACTCAAGGCTGAGTTACTGACCCCACTCAGACTGCAACCCCACAACAAGCTGACTAACTCCTGAGTACCTACTCACTGCTAGGTGAACAGAGGCATTAAGTGAAAGTAAATGTGCCCAACTATTTCTGTCCCTCTCGGGATTTGAACCCAGAATTCTCAATTGTGCATAGAGAATGAACCCAACTGTTCTACCGGGACCCTCCTAAATTGTTTAGAGGTCAGCTGTAGAAATAAAATTAGGCAAAATTTAGGAATTAGCTCATGATTTTGGGTGAAAGTGTTATTAGCAATGTTTCAGAAGAAAAGGGATTAGAAAGATAAACCCTAAATCTTTTTATTTGTGTAAATTACAGTATGTCGTTGTTATTATTTTTTGCTGCACCTGCCGAATGTTATCGTGTCCATAGTATGGAATGACTTTGGGTGAACTGGTTCCACTTGCATAGTTAAACCTCCTAGCAACCAGGAGGCCTGGTCGACGACTGGGCCGCGGGGACGCTAAGCCCCGGAAGCACCTCAAGGTAACCTCAAGGTAAGGTAAACAGTGTCCAGAGCAATGGACCAACCTTTAGAATGGAGCATTGTATTACAGATGCAAACTAAGCCATGAGGTGTGCTTAGAACACTGGATATAATGCTGACAAAAGGCTGTCACTTGGTTCAACTTGAGAGTAAAAGAAATAGGTAGGCACTTAGGCCTGGCATCATAATTTCTACATTATATAGCTAGTTGGGCAACATCAGTGAGATGCATAGATGGTACCTTGGTATACAAAGACTCGGAGGCAACAATTGACGATCAGAGAAAGCTTAATGTTACACTTCATCTTTCTTTATGAGCTACGCTACTAACAGTAAAACAAAAGGGACTGAGATTACATTACTCAGTGAATTAAGATATTAATCAACAGGTTTCACAATACCAGTACTGGAAATATTGTATAATTGCTCACTACAGCTCAAGTCTTGGGGAATCAGGACTACCTTAGGCATAAGACATCAGAAATACATATCCATATATAAAGTACTAACAAGCACCATATAAACATGTCAATGAATCTGGGAGCACAATCTCTCTGAAAATGAGAAAACCCACAGGAGCCGTGATGAGGATTCGAACCTATGTGCTGGGTGTTCCCAGAAGCTCCTGTAAATTTTCTCATTGAATATCACGATAATGTGATTCTTCTGTGTCTCTGAAAATATTTACACATAACAGGTGCAAGTGACGAGTCTATCTCGTCACTTGCACCTGTGGCTTGAGATAGACTCATCACTGTCTGACGAGTCTATCTCAAGCCACCATTAAGTGTACCCACTCACTTTGAATATTTAGGCACACATTACATTGTAAATATAATAATATTTACTGTATATTATATAAATAATAATGGTGTGCACCAAATAAATATAAAGTTATGTACGACAATTTCAACAAATTTAATTGTACACTTATTGCAGGCTGGTCTTGATAACACAGTGGCAGCAAAATGCCCTTAAAGCATTCTCTCATGTTAATTGTTGAACTTGTGCAGTCACCATGAACTGGTCTTGAAGCCCTAAATGTCCATTATTATTGCCATTCTCTCACTTTGAGACTAGAACTGTTAACCTGCAAGCTACAGTGCTGCATGAATCATTGGTGAGCAGCAATATATAAATCCCAGTGTTTAAAAGGTTTCAGTGTATTGGACACACTGTCTATCACTGCTCATTACTTTAATCACAAACAATATAATCCTTTTCCTTTGCTGCTTTTTTTTTTAATGTCAAAAACAGCCCTAGTTGTAATGCCATACTCGTCTGCCTGCTACTTTCGTCCCCAGCCATGATCACACTTTTCTAATAACTCTGATTTATGATCTGGGGTAAGGACACCTCACCTGTGTCTGATGTACTAGTACTGTATATCCATTCTACTCTTGCCTCATAATATGGTTTCAATTTTCAAATAATTATATATCAGAGGAAAAGCTAGTGAAAAAGATTGAATAGAAAGAGTGATTAGACCACACTCGCACACAAGCAAAATATACAGTCAGTACCTGTGCCCTCACAGGAGGTCTTGATGCCTCGGAAAAACTTCACAAATGTGTAATTTATAACATAGTACAAGATTAGTAAAACATTTCTAAAAATATTAATGCAGTACTGTATTTTGAAAAATATATACAAATATAAATGCAAGATTGGACAAAATTAAGAAAAAAATTATTTGTTAGAAATTACTTGATATGAACCGACAATTTTGATTTCACTGCGTCCCCCCCCTCCAAAATCTATTTTTTTAAAACTGAAATTTGGAGGGAAAGTCATCAGGTGGATTTCGTCCACTGTTTAGAGGGATCTAGTATAGGGCAGTCCAGATTTGGGAGGTTGCATTGTACTGTTTGACATAAATATAAGGAAAAATGGATAATATTTCTGGTTCAAAAGACATTTGTTTTGCTGCTCAATAATATACAGTACAAATCTGTATTTGAGTGGATGTGTTTTATTCTTTCCAAGCCAAGTAAACAAGTAGCCTAGATAAACAATTTTTTTTGACATACAGACAACACTGTTGTTACACACACAACAATGTGTAACACACATGATGTGTACATTAAAATAATGTTCCGGATGCTCCCGGACGCAGGTTTGAATCCTCCCCACGGCCTGTGTGGATTTGTTCAACGTTGCTGTTACTTTCAGTCAATATTTGTTTGAGTTGTACTGCAATGTAGTGCTATATAATCTGCTTGTTAAGGGAGGGGGGGGGTGTAGAAATAGCTTAAGCTACTCTATCCCTTTGAGATGTACAGTATTTTATTGTCTCAATAGCTAAGCAAGTTACAATCTTGTATAAATATTTTATTCAAAATGATCTGCTACCAGAAATTTTAGCCAAATATCCCCAGTTTACTAACTGTAGGTAGTAACTAAGTGATTGTAACCTATCCACCGCTGCCCACTGGATGGGGGGCGGTGTGCAGGACAAACATATCAATTGTGACACTAGCTCTCCACATATATCAGTTGCTTAATTTAGAAACTGTACTTGTGGTCAATCTCGAACCCATTGATGATGTGACGATGTGTATGGAATTTTGTAACTAGCTCATCAAGATTGTAACTTGCTTAGCTAAATGAATTGTGGGGGTTCAGTCCTTGAGCCCATTATTTGCCTCTGTAACCCTTTTCACTACCGCCCACAAGATGGGTATGGGTGCATAATAAATGAACTAAACTGAAATTGTCTCAATAAACGTAATTGAACGTGATCAGCTTGTTTAATGGAAGTTCTTTTTCTTTTTTAGGAATATGCTGCAGCACGGATGAATCATTATTTTGAAGACAAGGCAAAACTTAGAGTGGATTATATAAATAAACGCAAGTCTGAGGCAATTTCGGATGAAATATAAAATATCATACATTTTTTTTATTGTACAGTATTGAAGACAAAATCTGATGGTTTGCAGGCATTCATGGTGGTATAGTAACTTAAAGTTACTACTTTGTGAATATATTTTATAAATGCCATTATGGTACTTTACTGGTATTAATTTGCTCGATTATGATAGAGTTGGTGCTACAACTTATTGTCATATGTATTTTATAAAATGGTAGTTCACTTCAGCAGCAACAAAGAAGTGCATGGCTTACAAGGGAAGGCAGAGTAATCGACTTTCTAAAATTTATGCGAAGATGGATATTGTGATGAAGTAAAGTGCCTGTTCAGTAGGCCTATAATAATGTTTCTTCTCGGTTACCTCGTGCATCATGATTACCATCTTAAAATTTATGATTATTCAGTTTTTATTGATATGCTGCTTGTGCTAATTTTGTAGCCTGTAAATATCCAGGACAAATTAGTGAAAGATGCAGAGGAAACTTGGGAATGACGGCTGCACATGCATGAAGCAGGCAAGAAAGGTATGAACTTCTGGTTGGATGTTATATGTTAGGTTTTAGAATGGTCATGTTTTTTTTAGATCGTTCAATAGCAAGCGTAGTGACGATTCTTTTGCACTAGTCTTAAGAAGACGTGTGACAGAAGTGGAAATGTTGACAATCTTGAGTGGAGGTATGTCAGTGATGCCAGATTGGTGCTGTGATGTTCACTCATGCTGTGATGTAAAATACTTATTAGTATGCTTTTATGGTGTTAGGGGTCATGTCATATCTCATTTCTCTCATGGTATGTACATGTACATCTTATGCGAGTTGCCATGTTTGTATATCGTGTGCCATATTTACACCAACTAGCATCATTCATCTTTCTCATTCATTGCAAACGGGACCCATTAATGTGCTAGAGGCAGAATATGGATCTATTGATGGGATGTGTGTGTGTCTTGTTACTGAGGGAGACATATACTGCTCAAGTTATCTGTGAATCTAAGACTACATTGACCTTGTCTCTTGGTGCATCCTGGAGGTCTTTCTTAAGTCTTGGCACCATTTAAAGTTTAGTCAAGTGTTATGATGAGTTTTATATTTTGTGTATTATATATTTATTATATTGGCAAAAGATCAAACATTCGTGAAAATGTTTTGTGTATTAAAAGTTAAGAGCCGTTCATAATTTGGTTTGGTGAACTAGTAAACTTTTATTCCAGTGCTTGATGAGTTGTGGGATATTAGTCATAAAATGAATTTTTTTGTTAACTGTGAATTGGCCAAGTTTGTGTAGTTGAATATCTTATAGATAAATAACATGGCTCAAAATCTAATCAAACAGTTTTTAAAAACATAAGACTTTTTAACTTTAAAAAAAAAAATTCGTGGACGAATTTTGCATTCTTCAATATATTCTTTGCATTCCTAATATCTGGCAGGATATAATAGACAATACCAAATTGTAAGATATGTATGTAAAACCATAAGACTGACCATTGCTCAGTTGGTATTTGCTCTGGTATTTCTTAACCCTATTACTGTACAGTATTACCCATATGTGACCAAATCAGAAAAGCATCGATGTGTCTGTATCAGGTGGTGTATTAAGTGGAAATACTTAACCCTCATAATTTGGTACTTGCCTCAATTTCTTACCCTTTAAGTTTGTCATCTCTCTTTTTTTATATCCCCTCGTATTTCTATACTCTCAACCCTGATGTCTCTTGGCCCCCCCCCCCCCCCTCTCTTCCATCATGTTTCTCTCACCACTGTTTTTCTAGCCTGCCAGATATTAGGACAATACCCTGATTTGTTATTTTAATAGTTATGGGAATTTATAAATTATTGTTGCGATTTGACCAAAGTTACTGACAAGCATGCATTCACTGCACTTTATTTTTTTTAAATAATTTCTATATACTGTTCCTGTGTTTATAGAAGAAAAGTATTGCGTATACTTATTCAAATCCTGTTTTGATTGCAGTGACGTTTAAAGGAAAGTGTTCCTTCTTATCCATATTTCTGTTCTTTGTTCTAAGTCTTGGAGGTGAATTCATGAGGATGTGACTACACCAGTTCTGTTGTACATAAAAGCCCATTTAGTAATGTTAAGTTCATTGTACATAATTGGAGGCTGCTCTGTTTTAGTTAGGCATTATAATTGTTAGTGCAAGCCATATCAATAATGCCAAGAGAGACACACACACACATGTAAATTATACTGGTGTTTATATAATGCAGTTGCAATATTTTTTGTTATTAAAACTGATTTTTTATAAGTACAGTACTTATAGTTTGGTAGACAGTAAAGTTTAATTTTTATTTTTCCTGGAGGAGTCTCTGGTGGTTCCCTGAATCTATATCGCTGAGATAGCTTCCGACTAATGAGTCGAATCAGCTTCCGACTAATGAGTCATGTCGGCCATAGGTGTTGTGTGTGGTGTACCAGGGAACATCACACACAACGGGATGTTTTGGTATCTGTTCCTAGTGTGGCTGCTTTGTCATCTGGGATTCTGGCTTTGGAGGCCCTGCCAAAGTTGCTGGCCTCCTTGTGCCAGGACTTGGCAAAGGGAGCTGAAGATTGTTACAATCGCAAACACTGACAAAGCATCCATTAAGTAAGTAAATCAAAACAGATAATCGTAAGGTTCACAGAAAATAAAGCACCGAAATAGTCAAATGACTGAGTATATGATTCTTTCAAAACCAATTGGTTCACTGTATACTAGCTCAGACCCCCCTAGTGTGAAAAGCTGCCAACTGGTGGTGCCTTGTGAGTTCCAGGCTTTTGATCCAGTTATTGGTCAATTCTGTCACTGATGTCTAAGAAATTAGACCTTCCAGAGTTTTCAGCCATAGGCAAGTATCTATGGCTGGCTATGGACCCAGCCTCATGCGAGTTCGGGTCTGCTGCTGTCTTTTGGTTTTAGTACAAGGTCCTTGGTTCATCCTGGCTGGCTCTCTTACTTTCCTTGGGGCTTGGCATGGCTTCTGCTGAACCCGGATGCTCGAGTGGCAGAAATTGAGTTCTGTCTTTCAGGTATTCTTGGGCAGTGCTTCTTTTACACCTCATGAGGAATACTTGTTTACTCTGGCACTCCACAAGTACCTGGGTAGTTCCATGGACTGTGCTCTCTAGAGTCTTTACTGTGGAGCATCACAGAGCTCGTATTCACTTGGTGGCTGTTTTGCACTTTTGGGGGGTTGTTGAGCTATTTTCTGATCGGCTTCATGCAACCTGGATGTTCTGGCATCTGTTCCTGGTGTGGCTGCCTTGTCATCTGGGATTCTGGCTTTGGAGGCCCTGTCAAAGTTGCTGGCCCCTTACCCCCTCCTGGAGGCAGTGGCAACATTTTAGTTGGCCTGAATAGTGCCCACCAAGCTTCCCAAGGTCTATGGTCGGGCCCATCCCATTGGGTACACAGTACAGTACAGTATACTTGTTTGCGGAAGTATGGCAAGCCCTTCGAAGGTTTGTCTTCCTCTGCCCCTCAGTTGAATTCCACTTGCTAAACCTCTGGTCTCACCATGTAGCTCAGCTTCTGGCTTCTTGGGTTCACTGCACGGTTCAAATGCAGGATATGTCCAACGTCCTCACAGATGGCTTTACTCATTTTCATCCCATTTCCATAAAGTGAACTGTCAGTGACACATCCTTCTTTTGGCTTTGTGAGATGTTCTGTCATCCAGAGATGGACTTGATCATTTTGGCATGGAACTGGCATCTTCCCCTCCTTCTTTGGTCCTTTCCTGATCACGAGGCTGTCATGGTTGATGACTTTCAGCGGGACTGGTTGAGGTAGAGGTTTCTCTCTCTCTCTTTCTCTTCATCCCTATCTTGAGAATTCATCTTGAGATGATTTCAGGGCTTAGCGTCCCCCGTGGCCTGGTCCTCAACCAGGCCTCCTTTTTGTTACACACCCCCAGGAAGCAGCCCATAGCAGCTGTCTAACTCCCAGGTACCTATTTACTGATAAATAGTTTAGTTGGTCCTCTGGGTGTTGTCCAGGATAGAGACATGCTCAGACAAGTAATCCTTCTTGCTCTTTGGTGGCCAGCTCAGCCTTGGTTTCCATCTCTTTTGGTCTGGTGTTTAAACCTGGCATTTTTCCACAGCTCCTCTTCTTTCAGCAGGTCGACACTGACGTGCATACCTAGCTGGTTTGATCTCTGCCGATCTACGAATTTGGAGCGTCTGATTCAAGTTTATTACCATTTGTATTGTGTGCAGATGGCTGCATTGCTAGTGTTTTGTCTGTGTCTTTCATCATGGCAATTGTATGAAGTTTCATGGCACTCTTTCATATCTTTGTCCTTTGTTTTAATTTCTATGTCCTTGTTTGTTATTTATTTGTCTTTTGCCTAATTCTGTCAACTTTTATCGTTCATTTTTTTTAGAGCCTCTCTTGTTGGCATTTGGCATTGACACTTCTTCGGCACCCATTTCACAACCTGTCTTATGCTCTCTCTCACCTCTTGTTAGCTCAGGAGGTACTGCTAACTGTTAGTACCTCCTGAGCTGTTTGGGTTTTCTCAATAGGGTTTTAGTGTGTCCTCCTCAGTTCATGGTTGCTCCTTTCATGCAGGACGTCATTCTTAGGGCACCTTTTTGCAGGCCCTCATCTCTGGTTGTTGGGTTGACGAGCTTCATCCTCTTGTCTGGAGACATAGGTTCTCTTCTTTCTTTCTTTCCTGTTAGGTGGTTTCTTTGTTAGCACCCTTCTCCCTTTCTGCTTGGTTTGTCTGGCCAGGGGTGTGTCCTTTGTAGTGTCCCATTGTGACAGGTCATTGCTGCCTGCATGCCACCTGCTCTGCTATGATGGGCAATATTTGTTGACCCAGTATCCTTGATTCCCTGTTCCAAGGCATGGTCATTCCAGGTTGTCCAGTGTCCTTAACTCTAGCCACCCTATGGTTTATCCTTGGGTCTATAATGTTTGCAGCACGATTGCTGTGTTCGCTATCATCATCATGAGCTGATATCCTGGCTCTGGGGTTTGGGAGGTCTTCCTCTGAGTTCTGGTCGCATGTGTAGTTGAAAGAAAGTTGTCTTTTTCCTCCTCCGTAGTTAGTCCTATGTTTTTTATTAGCTTCAGGGAGCCACCAGAGGCTCCTCCAGAAAACAGTATTGAATATTTTTGATGAAACATCTCCTTCTAGTAGAGTTTTTGGTGGTTCGTAGATTCCTTCACTCCGTACCAGGCAAGTCAGTTCACTGCTTATCAGCTTCAAGCTTTCTAATGGCCAGATCAGGAGCCTGGAACTCCCAGGGGTACCACCTGTTGACAGCTATTTACACTGGGGGTTGAGTTAGTTTCAAGTGAACCAATTGGTTTTCAATGCATCATTTGCAGAGTTGTTTGGCTGTTTTGGTGCTTTGATTTCTATGAACCTTGCAGTTGTCTGTATTGCTTCACTTATTTTCTGGATGTTATGTGAGGGGTGATAGTAACAATCCCCAGCTCCCTGTGCCTCTGTGAGTGGTGCCAGGTTGTGACTCTAGTGCCCAATAGGCCAAACAGGACTTCCCCATTACTATATGACTCGGTAGTGGGGTAGCTGTTACGACAAGATGCTCCAGGAAGCCGCCAAGGTTTTAGCAAAAAAAGGCATTTCATCATATTCAATGCCATTATTTTGTACTAACTGTAGCTTCTTGTTGTGTTCATATTTACCAAAAATAATCTTCATAAAAATAAAAAAAAGTATGAATGTGTAAGCAGGCGATGAGTCACAATAACGTGGCTGAAGTATGTTGACCAAACCACACACTAGAAGGTGAAGGGACGACGACGTTTCGGTCCGTCCTGGACCATTCTCAAGTCGATTGTGAGAATGGCTTGAGAATGGTCCAGGACGGACCGAAACGTCGTCGTCCCTTCACCTTCTAATGTGTGGTCTGGTCAACATGAATGTGTAATTTTTTTTAAGAATATTTGATTAAGATTATGTATGATGATTATTATGGTAGTTCAACCAAGTGTGTCATTCCTTCAAATATTTATTTACTTGATATTGAAGTTCATATTGCAGTAACTTCTAGTTCTTGTCACTTCATATACATATTTGATATTACTGAAAATGTAGTGAGTAGTAGTAGTAGTAGTAGATCGTATGCTTCATATTCTTCCTAAAGAAGAATTCATTTGTGCCTTTGTTGGTCCTATTTAAAAGCTATTTTGCTTTGTAATTTTGTTAGAAATGTTCATATTGTATAGAAAAACAGAAGGTCTTGAGAGAAGAAACTAGTTTCTCCTCATATATTGGAAAATCTTGGTGGAATTGACAGCAACTGCTGCAATTATTTACAAATACAGAAGTTCTATTAACCTTTTGAAGTAGTAAGCGCTGATGATAAAAGTAACAGATTACTGATGATATTAGGTAATCACAAGCAATTTTAATAACTCAGTTATCTGACTTTTAAGGCTAAGTAGACAGCTATAAATAGTTCCCAGTCATCTACTGAAATCCCTCAAATAAGTAGCCAGTAATATACCTTGCACTAACTTTTATTTTTAAGTGGATGCAAATCTTGCCAAGGGACCAGATCCACTACTTACAAAGAACTGACTGACTTTTAGAGTGTGATTGTGCAGCGAGGAACACCTCTGTATGAATGTAAGTTGTTTTTGGTAAGTAAGGTGCCTTCTTTTTATAATTACTTGGTAAATAATACTAAATTAATTCTTTGGTAGTATGGTAGAGGGGGATAACCCTACCCCATTCTCCCTGAATGAATAAATCTGTGGGAAATACAAGGTATAACTTACACATGTATAAGACCTTTCACTAGTAAGGCAACCTTTCACTGTGTAATAAACCCATGATCTCCGTTTAAGGAAATAAAACGACTTTTTAATCAGAATTGATCATTAACAAGATTTAATATAAAAGACATGAAGTTCAGTTCAGAACACCAAATTTGACTTGTCATAGCCAAGGAGAGTAAGGCTGGAGTATTACTGTCTCGGGTTAACATGGAGTTGATCTCTCATGTGTTCATTAAAGTTGAGGACTGAGTTCAAACTTCCTACCATGGGAGATACCACTCAGTAAAAATGAGACAGCCTGAAAATATTTTAGAAGTTATATATCTTCAGATATTATATCAAGTATTACTAAGCTTCCGATATAACAATAATCTCCGTTTTTTATTACTTTATATGACATTGAGGCTTGATTAGCATTTTAATCAAATTCCTAAATGTAATTAGCAAATTCAAATGTCAAATATTAAACAGTATTGCACAATGAGTCAGTAACTACAGGTTGTGCACAAGTATGGGTTCAGTAGTATATTTAGA